TGTCGTCCCTGAACTTTTAATACTTGTTCAATTTAATCATCGAACTATATAAAAATATTTAATGTAGTCCTTCCATTAATTCAGGTTCAGTAGCTACATTAAACATATAACAAAAGTCTATGGACCATATTGAACAAATTAAAATTTCAGGGACCACATTGAACATTAGGCTAAAGTTCAAGAATTACATTAAACAAATTAAAAGTTCAGGGATAATATTGCACATTTGGTCAAAGTTTGGAGACTGTTTGTGTCATTATCCCTAAAAATAAAGTACATTAACTCCTACCAAAAAAAAAAGTACAATATCACTAGCTTTTCATCCAATAAAAGAAATGGTTTGTAAAAGAAACATTACTTTTTTATACGAGTTTGTCTCATTATAGATGTACCATGACCATGCCTTGCATGGGGCTTTCAAATTAATAATGTCGATAGAATCAAACTATATATAGCGATACATTCAAAAGGTGGAAATTCACTCTCTTGTATCATGAATTGATTCACTTTCTCGGATAATTAAATTATTTTTCACAAAATTCGCTTTCTACATCTTGGATTAAGGAATTCTTTCATTGAATGGAATAAATATGTAAAATTAAATATACATTTTTTTGTCAAAAATTAAATATACATCAATAAGATTAAATATAATAAGTTACTGAATTCCAAATATTATTGGGCAATAATTAGTACCAGATACAAGTTCATGATATGTATTTATAAACTAAATTAAAATCGGTGTGTAATTAGGTTTTATAAGGGAGATGTTAGCCAGAAAATTGTCCAAAAAGTTATAAACATATTCCACTTTTACCAGTTCAGTCCTAAATCTTTTAATTGTGCTAAATGAATTCTAAATATTTTCACGTCTTACCAATTGAGTCTATTCGGATAATTTTGACCGGAATCGCTAAGGTGGACACATGTCATCTTACGCGTACTGACACGGACAATTTTTAATAATATTTTAATAGATTTTTGAATTAATTTTTTTCTTTTCATTTTCCTTTTCCTTTTTTTTCTTTTTCTTTTCTTTCTTTTTATTCTTCCCTTCTTCCTCTAACCAGTTGCTGGGCCTTGACGATGGCCAACGACCGGCCAGAGGGGAGAGTCGGCAAGGTCAACCTTGGGCAAGGCTCGACCTTGTTATTGTTGGGCAAGGTCGGCCTTGCCATGGCTGGGCGAGGCCGACCTTGTCAGATCTGGCGAGGCTCGACCTTGCCGTCACTAGGTGAGGTCGGCCTTGCCAGTGGCTAGGTGAGGCTCGCCCTTGCCAGATTTGGTGAGGGTCGAGCCTCACTAGTGATAGGGTGAGGTGGATCTCGCCCAACGACGGTGAGATCGAGCCTCACTAGGACATGTGAGGCTCGCGCCCATTGGCCCTCGCCTTTGGCCAGTCGCCAAGGCCCGGCGACCAACTAGAGAAAGAAGGGAAGAAAAAAAAAAGAAAGAGAAAGAAGATAAATAAATAAATAAATAAATAAATAAATAAAATGATTAGAAAAAAATATTAATTAAAAATTATCCACTTCAGCGTCAGCCGTGCCACGTAGGACGGCTGGCATCCACGTTAGCGGTTTCCAACCAAATTTTTTCGGATGGACTTAATTGACAAAACGTGAAAATATTAAAAACTCAATTTGATCAATTAAAATGTTTAGAACTTTTTGGACAATTTTCCCATATGTGAGCACATATGATATCCAAAATTGCTCCTAAAAAACAATTTATTGTTGGTGAATTTGGCCATCGATATCGCAAATATTCTTCCAATTACGTTGAAATCATGATGTGGTGAGACTAGTTCAACAAGAAAGGTGATTTTTGGTTTTTTATGTATAACTAGCGACTTAGACAACGCTAGATCGAAAAGGAGACTTCATCATCCATCGTTTGCTTTAACAAGCAATTCTCGTTATTCCCTTTTAAAAGTTTTTGCGGGTACAAAAAAGCGGTGATAATAAATCATTAACAGCTAGCGTTGAGGGTTGGTTGCTTGACAGTTGACAACACTTCTTCTTCTTCTTGATAAAAAAAAAAAAAATTTGACTCCGTATTAGCCATTCTTGCCATGGAACTTGCAGATATCGAGGAGGAACAATTCCAAATCGAGCGTTGACCTTCGTGAAGAAACGCAGATGGATGGCGCGTCTCTTGGGAGCGGCAGGCACGGTCAACTCAAGAATGTCATCGAACTTTGCTGCATGCATTTAAGGATGCTCTCGGTAATCATTTTATTTTCGAAAATAATTTCTACTCAAAAATAATTTTTTTATTCTGTTCCTAAAAATAATTTTTAAGCATTTGGTAACGACCCAAAATTTCCATTCCTGAAATAGAAAAAAAAATATAAATACTTTTGGTAGCTGCACAAAAATTCTTTTTATTAATAATATTTTAAATTTTTTAATATTTCTTTTTTATTCTTTTTTTTTTTGTCTTCTTTTCCTTCTTGGGCATGGTTGGTGACCAGCCACAGGCTAGGGTTGGCGAGGGTGCCGGGGCCCTCGCTGGCCACAGGCGAGGGCCAGCGAGGGGGACCCTCGCCTGTGGCAGGCGAGGGCCGCAACGCCCTGGCCGGCCCTGGCCTATGGCCAATCGCCGGCCGCTGGCCCTATGGCCAGTGGCCGATCGGCGACCGGCCATAGGCCAGGAAAGAAGAAGAACCGGCCATAGCCAGGAAGGAAAGAAGAAGAAAAAAAAAATTCTTTTCCATTTCTGATTCTTGTTCCCAGAATTAAGAATCAACATTTTTTATTATTGATTCTGTTGCAAAACTAATTCTGCGAACAAATTTGTGCACGGGAACAAAAAATTTACCAAGCGGATTTTTGTTCTTTTTTTGTTCACCGGAACAAAAGAATATAATCAGTTACTATTTGGCAAGTTACGAAACACACCCTAAGTCGATGTCATGGCTGAGATCCCAGTTTTTTCCCATTTTGGCGGAGGAGATCTCGTTTTTCATTTGTTTATTTTCAAGCCGACGAATTCACTGGCTCGTCCGTGACCTTCGGAGGTAAGAAAAGGCCTAGAAGAAGTCCTGTTCGGCCAATGCATGTTGTTGATTCGTGTTCTTTCTAGAACGTGAACTCAAGGTTCTTCTCCGTGACGTGATTCCCATTGCTGTGCTACTACTGCAATCAAGGAACGAAATAGCGATTCACACCTAGGTCAAACCGCGACAGTAAGTGAATACCGACATATTTAGATTCGTCGAAATATATCTTAATGCGTCGACGAGTAAGAGTTCATACATTAAACATACTAAATATGTTGAATCGTGTAACCCCATTAGTAAACATGTCATTTCATCGATTTATGGCGTAGAAAACAGAAGTTATTATTACTAATCTACTTGGGGTGCTCATAAGGTTAAAAGTGAATTTGAATCTAGGGTTTTATTTTATTTTACTCTTTTTTTTTGCCCTTGAATTTTGCTTGGTTTGATCTGTGCGGAAACTGATTGAAGACAATATCGGTCCATCTAGTTAACAGTCCTTGTCATCTTGGACGGAAAGGTTTCTTCTAGCTCACGCTTCGTGACATGAAGTTTATCAGCACCTACCCAACAACCGCATTTGCACGAAACCTAACCCCCATGCAAAAATGCTTCAGGGCATCTGCATGCAAGTGTCGTACCTCTTTCGGTGCCCCTAGGGAAGAAGGCCGAGGTCGCGGTCAACGTTAGCTCGGGTATTGAACGCCAACACCCAACCTTCTTTCCTAACCGAGGCTGTCGTCGTCGTCATCGTTTTAGCCAATTCCATCCGAAATGCCTCGCAAATGTAAAACGGAGCAAATCAAGAAACCAGCATTGCATTTGCTTGTGTTATTACCGGTGGTGGCACGTGGATCTTTGGTGTCGTTCATCTTGAAACTTAAGTTGTTAGATTAAGACTTGGGTTCACGCGTTCTAAATACTCTAACGTAATCACGGCGTATTTGAATTTAATCTAACAGATTTGGGAAGTATAAAAACTGATGTCATTCTTTTGTTTTGCCAAAAGGTTAGTGATCGACCTTTTCACAAAGGTCGTGCTAGCAATTTCACTTAAATTCAATTTTTTCGCTCCAAACACGATATTCCAGTTACCCAATCTAATTACCCGATGAGAATTTTTTTTGTTCATTTTTTCGGGGAAATAGGATATGACAACTCAACACTCGACACGTGTTATTGACACAAATGGATAGGGACGCCATGCTCCGAATCGAAGCGCCTGAAATTTTCTCCCTTCAATGACGAAACCCTAAAAATTTACCTTTTTGGGACCAAACGGTCCTAACACCACCTATCTTGAAAACATATGTTATTATTTACCAATCACAAGTATAAGAACTTTCAAATGGAACAGTACTATATTGATACATATATAGGACTCACAACGTCTGTTTCACGATACAATGGGAATCACGGACCGTGGTTTTAACTTTTAACCCTTTTTTTTTTCTACTTTTTCGGGCGGCTAAAATCATGAATGAACTAAGAATCCTCGGCAGCAGCTTCATCCTCTTTGAATTCACGACGAGGAGGCCCGTCGTCCATTCAAGGTTTGAGAATCATACGATCAAATTTGTCAGCTGAAATGGCTGCAAGTATTCCTGGCAATGAAACCCAGAACTTCCATGGATCTCATGATAGATCCAATTTTACTTTTTCGGCCGGTGACGATAGCCATCCCAATTGATCATTAAAACAAGAAAGTAATCCCAGTGTTCCATCATTGACTTATGATTAAGACTACTAAGGTTATATGTATAATCTGTGGATTCACCTGAAATTAGCCAGTTCATCCGCTATGTACACCTGTATATATATGGATTAGATCTGCCCCAATGATAAACTTTTTTTGGAACTGATCTTCTTTAACTTTGTGGTACTTTTTTTGCTGTCCCAATGAAGTTTCATCAGAAACTCAAAGGATCTAAGACTTACAGTTTTTGTGTGAAAACAGAAACCGCAAATCGTACAGGGGAGAAGGTGACAAAAATGCTGATGATTACAGTTTCTCAACTATATTTCTGTGGTGAAACAATACATTTACAACAAATAGAATTTCTCAAGCTCGGAAATCCAGACCTCAACTTTACTAGATTGAGATGAAGCAATTTTTGAATCATCATGTTTGATCTCCTCCCGTTATGCATGGTGACGATTAACGAGGCTCCATTTGCAAATAATTGAGCAACAAATGTGCCGTTTTTTCCTCTCGAATGGCAAAAGCCACGGGTTAGCTTCTCTGATTCAGCCCGTGTTTCCTCGATCCCTCTTCATAGATCGTCGCTTTAAGTCTCCGATGATTTCGATTTTCTAGCACTTGGGAAAAGGCGTTGAACTTCACGAGATTAATCGTCTCCTTGTGCACTAACCGTAGTCACGCATCATGCATACTCCTTTGTACTTTGTTCCTTTTCGAATCTTCTAGAAATCTGTGGGCGACAAATGAGTCATCATGCAAAGAGAAGCAAAGTGGGGGATTCGGCGCTTCCGATGTCCCTCGCTACTGTGGAGGCATACGGATTTTGCACCTCTTCCTCAACTTTAGTAAGCGAAGAAGACGGGACGCTAATTGTGAGATCGAGGTTCAAATCGGGCAAGCCATGTGGGATATCCCCCGAAACATTCTCCCCCTTGAATACCTCGTGATGATCACCAGCGCTCTTGGAGGACTTATCGGCCGGGGTTGTGTTGGTCTTCAAACTGGACGAGGAAGTGCTGCCGGAGGCATTCGAGGTTTGAGAGCGAGGGAGATTTTGGTTCAACCGGTGATTATTGGGGTCAATCCCCATCTTTAGGAGTTTCCTCCTTAAGTGAGAGTTCCAATAGTTCTTGACTTCGTTATCAGTACGTCCCGGCAACCTTCCAGCTATAAGCGACCACCTGAAATATAAATCGCAGACCAAATTATCAGACAAACCGTTAATTCTCCAAACTTGAATTTAAAAATACAAAGCTCCTTTCATTACTAAAAGGAGACGAGATAAATAGCACTTTTGAACGGTAAATACCAAACTCAGTTCATGGACATGGAAGACTTTTTTTTTTTTTTAAACTACGATTTCATTCATCCGCAATAATGTGTTGGTTATAGTTCCTGTTATATTACTAATGCAAGTTTGACAATATCCTCAAATGGAGTAGGAAAATGCATTTCTTTCGCAATATTAGGGCGAGAAAAGAGAGAACAGATGGAGTGAAATCAAAGAAACGCACCGGTTGCCGAGGAGTGCATGAAGTTTGATGATGAGATCTTCTTCATCCTCGGCGAAGTTGCCCCTCTTGAGGTCCGGCCTCAGATAGTTTATCCATCTCAGCCGGCAACTTTTGCCGCAACGGAGCAGACCTGATGACCAATGCACTCACATTCTCAGTTATATATTCCCCCTAACGAAACTCCATCATTCTCTTCTTGTTTTTTTTATTATTCAATTTCCGATTGCTGTTTAGTCGTGCCATGTTTTGCTACAAATGGGATGTAAGGAAGAATGGAGAACAATACCGGCGGCATGTGGAAGAGTTCGCCAGCTACCCTCGCCGTGCTTTTGAATGTAATCGATGAGCTTCTGGTCCTCTTGCTTCGACCACGCACCCTTGTTGGTGTCTCGCTTGTCGCAGCAAGGCTTCCTCATGGTTCTCTAATTTCCGTGGGCAGTCGTCGAAGGCAAAGCTTCGGATATGATTTTCACAGTAGAGAGAGAGAGAGAGGGAGAGAGAGTTGAACAAGGCAAGGGGATAAAGAGAGGAGCCAAGGCAGGTATATATCTAGGGTAGGTGCTGTCATATGGATGGTAAGGCGGGGAGGTTGACTTTGACTGGTGGTTTTGGCCATGCGAGAGAGAGAGAACGATAAGGACTCATACTTAACGGCAACTAACTACCACAGCAACACATTCATTGTCAAACCCTACCATCCCTCTTTCTCTCTCTCTCTCTCTCTCTCTCTCTGCGCTTCTGAGCAAAAACTTTTTGGTCTTTAGTTGAAAGGGTGGATGGGAGATGAGAAACCATCCAAAACGAGCGAGAACCGAAGGGAATATAAGCCTTCTTGCGTGAAAGAGGACAAAACAAAAAAACGTCTGAAGACGATCAACAAAACATGAATTCACAGCAGCTGATGCGAAGATGAGGAAGATGATCATATACGATCCAAGAACACACACCCCCACACGCACAGGAGGAGGGAGAGGGGAGGGGTTGGAGCAATCGCATGCTTCCCATGGTTTGACTGATAGTTCCTTCGGTTTCCCCCATGCTCTCAGCCCTGTGACTTTAACAGCGTAACGAACGGTCTTGTTTCGGTTTCCTCATCTCATTCGCACACGGTGGATATGTCGTCACCCGTATAGATGGACAAGACAAAGAACACAGTAACATGAATATGTACGTGCAGTGAATTAGGGTTTCTTGTTGAAATCAATCTGGAACTCCGTTAATGGCTTACCGGTTGTTTATTAATCTGTGCGCACACATATTGTTGTTACTATTACTATTGTTATAATTGATGTTATTATTTTTTATTACTACTACTACTATCATGAATGCAGACATTGACGAATATAAGTACAATTAATCTCTGCAGCTATATCGTTTCTGTCAGTTTAACTAATGTCAATCTTTTCTCCTTTTAATCAAGAAAAAGGCGGTGTCATTTATGCCTTTTCTTTTAGGGTTAATACCACGAAAAACCCTAAAACGGTACATATGTGACAAATTTACTTTAAACTAATTTTTTGACCATCACAAACCCCAAACTGATACATATGCGACAAATTTACTCCAAACCAATTTATTTTACCATCAAACACCTAAAATCGATACATTTATGATAAATTTACCCTACGTTAAGTTTGATTAATACCACGAAAAATCATAAATTGGTAAATCAGTGACAAACAGAGGGGTAATACCCTAAATTGGTATACCTATCAATTGCCACATATCATCAAACTCAGTAATTTGATAGTAAAAATTAACGAAAACTAACCAATGGTAAATTTGTCACTAGTGTATCAGTTTTGAGTAAATTTGTCACAAGTATTCTAATTTGGGGTTTTTCGTGATATTAACCCTTTCTTTTATGATGTACTCGTACGCTAGGTTATTTCATTGCATTTTCATTTAGTAATAAACACAGTTTATTACTGTAAAAAAACACAGTTTATCTAGCAAAAAAAAAAAACACAGTTTATGGGTTGTTCGTATTTTCTAGGCATGACATCTTGTTACTGTAAATAAAGATCACTGAAGCAATCAATTAGCAAAACCAATTAATTTTCTAGTCGCCTGTCCATATAAGCACTCCTGTCAAAAGTAAAAAAAGAAAATAGAGATTATTATTGTTCATGCGGATGATATTTATAAAATAGTCACAAGCTTCCGGGATCTCAATTCCTCCAAGAACTTCAAAAGCTCATCAAACATATAACGGAAGTCATAGTAGGTAGAGCTCGTGAATGGTCGCACCATGTCGCTGGACCATGTGCACCTTTAGAAAATTGGGGGTAAACGCATTAAAATGTAAGCCCTAACAAAAATTCGCTATAGGAAATATAAATTTTGTGTGAGTTTCTTCGCGATACGCGCAAGGCTACATAGAAGGATGCGATTTGCTACTGTAGCATAGACCTTGAATCGAGATTGATGTATAAAAAACATTTGAATTTTCAAAATCCCGTGTTCCACCTGTTGGAAAATTTGCATATACCGAACTATAATGACAACAAAGTCGCTTAGGGAGAAAGAAGAAAAAAAACCCATAGCAGTGGAGCTGCGCATTGTATATGGCATAATGTCTAACGCAAAAAATATAGAATAATCACAACATTCAACAAAAGACTGCAGTTGAAAATATATACAGAAGAGCAGCTGAAAAATATTATATATATATATTTTTTTGGTGACCGAGGATCCGCTACCATTCCTGGACAGTGACGAGACCCAAGCATTGTGTAATCGCCTATACCTCGTGAGACTAAATTTCAAAGAACCCACCGCTGCGCCCTCACTTAAATTACGGAACCGAGCGGGGATTCGAATCCAGAACCTCTAAGGAGGGAAGGAAAGCGCCCATCAACTCGGCCATGCGCAGGTAGGTTGAAAAATATTATATTTGGTCTTAGCAGAACAGGTTTTGAGTACGAGCACATAATGCGACAAGACATTCAAGCAAATCAAATAGTTTTTGTTATGATGTATTGACTTTTATTCGATGCACCGACAGTGTAAACGAGTTTCTTCAAGTACAGACAAGTTTTAAAAGAAAAACCGATACGTTTATTGTTCTAAGTCTTGCCATGGTATACGTTCCATCGATAGCCGGACGTTTCCCTACAAAAAACGCTAGGTAAAGTCAAATCTTCCGCGACACCTCTCTAAGTACAACCGATTTTATTGCGTGTCTACGAATGGGTTTGTCACTCTTGCTATCTCTTGAGAATAGCGCTCAAATGGGTGTTACAAGCTATGAAAGACTGACGGACTAAAAATTCTTCTAAAAAAATTCTGAATCTCTCTTGTTTTTGCCCTTTCAGACTATATGACTTCTGGCCGAGTTTTCTTCAATTTATAAAGCTCTAAATTCGAACATTGCACTTAGATCATGTAGCTGTCATTGCACTATGTAAAAAATCTCGGCAAAAGTTTCTTGCAAAACACGTGCAAAAAATTCTTTCAAATCTGGGATGTCAATGAGATTTTCTATTGATGGCAAATTATCTTCTATCGATAGCTGGTTTTGATCCCGCCATCTCAACAACCTGCTCAGCGAATTAGTCCATGATTATTTGCATAAACAGTCTTAGAATATCATGCTTTATTGCTATGAGTTGGATCTTCAATTTAGAAACTACAACGGTCATCAAGTCTAGTCTATATAGCGGAAGTGCCCGACGATCAAGTTCGACTCTTTTGCAGAATCAAGAATTTGGTCTATACCCTTCCTTGTGCAGTTTTCAAACTTAGTGAAATTTGACCCATGTACTTGTAGAGTCAGAATTTAACTTCTCTGCATGGTTTAGATACGATCCTCTGCACACTTAAATCAACTCACTAAATACTTCATTTAAGTTTTATCATCATCAAAACCTTTCATGAATATTTTCTAACAGCTTCAAACTCGCTTCGTCGCTGCTGCTGGATGAGCAGCTCCCTCGTTGACGGTGACAAGCCTTCGTTGCCTCCAGATCCAGAGGTCGTGCCCCAAATCTGGAGCCCCTTTCATCGCCGCCGTCGAGGCCTCGAGTCCTCGACAATGACGGAGTGGAGGCCACCTTTGGGTAGCAATGGCTCAGGGTGGGGGTGGCCGGAGTTGAGAGATAGAGAGGGAGGAGGGAGAGGTCGATTGGTTCGGGCATCGTTGGCTGGCTGACACGGTGGCAGTGGCGGCTGGCGATGATTACCGGCGGCTTAATTGTATGATACAAAGCGTGCAGATTCTTCACAGTAAACTAGTTAGGGAGAAGGGAAAGCTGATCACGTGGCTTTTCAACCACCAAAATGGCAAAGAAGGGGGGTCACTTTCACTTGCGAGCATTAAACTTTTAATGGACTTTGCAATTAGGTATCAAACTATGATTCTGACGACTCGATACGCTACACTTTTTCTTCTCCACAAAGGGGGTAATTTGATCCTACCGCCAGTCTTCCGGCGAAAAGCTGACACAATCACATGACGGTGCACGCGAACCTCCCACTGTTTCTAACATGAACGGATTCACACCGGACGTCGATGCCCCTTCGAAAAGAGCACATATAAACCAAATCACACTTCCATTTAGTAGCTTAAGCAAACGGATGAATACGCATGGTAAATCCCATGAAATCAACACGTTGTAACAGCACATTTTAGGGTTTCTTCACCTCTGCCGCATTTGTCATGCTATACATGTTTTTTATTTATTTCTCGTATCTGTTGGTCCCCATGATTCAATGAACCGAGAGGGTAGCTATCGACATTAGAAACGCAATAAAGTAAGAGGAAAATGAATAAAGAAGACCCGACCCCGATCCTCAATTGGCCCCCTAAGGACTGGGCACTTGATAACTCCATGGAACCACCAGTCTGCAGATGATCAGAATATAAAAATCTCCCCCCTCCACAATCATAATCGACTTGATTATTATCTTCTTTTTTACCTTGGGGATTAGTTTACTGACACCGAAATGCTTGCGGAACTGGATAACGTGGGACACAGGCTGACACACCCACGAAAGCGAAGTACTAGGAGTGCGTTTCGTAATCATCCTATTTTCGAAAATAATTTATATTTAGAAATAATTTTTTTTATTTTATTTTCAGAGATAATTTCTAAACATTTGAAAACGTTTAGTAACGGCCCAAAATTTCTATTCCCGGAATAGAAAAAGAACAGAAATGTATTTGGTAACTGCACAAAATTTCTTTTTATTATTAATATTTTAATAATTTTATAAAAAAATATAATATTTCTTTCTTTTTCTTTTTTTTTTCTTTTTATCTTCTTTTCTTTTTTGACCATGATCGGGTCACCGGCCATAGGCAAGGGCTAGACCCTCGTGGCCTGGACGGCCCTTGCCGGCCTTTTCCGGCCCTTTCCCGAGCCGACGAGGGTCGTCCTCGGCGGATCCGGTGAGGGCGGCCCTTGCCCAGGCCGCGAGCCTCGAGGGCGGCTCTCGCCAGCTCGAGCGAGGGTTGGAAAAGGATTGCGAGGGCCGCAAGGGGGGACCCTCGCCGGCCCTGGCCTGTGGCCGGTCG